TCACACAAAGAGCCCAAACCATGGTTTGTGTAACTGTGGATTATTGGGATCGAGTAACATCCTCTTCTGAAGAACATTAATGAGTTCCCCCTAATGAACATAATCATAAATTTTGTTCTGCATTCCATTGAATATAATAAACAGAACAATAACTTGTACTAAAGTACGGTTTGCTTAATCATGGTTCACAATCAACCATAACTTGAGACAAAAGCTAATGCTAAAGCTATCATTCACCCTGCTACCACACTGACAGTTGGATCCAGCCATTCAAATAAGTCCAAATCCAAAACCTGCAGGGTTCAGCGTGTTGTGTGAATGGACTTACACCTGAAGCAAAATCTTGATTTAAAAGGGTTGGCTGAATTTGCTAAGCCCAATACACACTGCAATAACCACAAGGTACAAATACTGTACACCAAACCACTTTATAGCCCAGCATGCTGCATGAACCCAATCAAAAGTACTTTGGGATAAAGATAAGTAGATTGCAAAACACATCACAGGTGTAGGGAGGGTAATGGGAATATGGGGGCAATTTTTCAAAAAAAAAAAACCTTCAGAGACCAATTACATGTAGTCCTCAACTTACAACCATAACTGAGCCCAACATTTCGATTGCTAAGTGAGTTTTGCCCCATTTTATGAACTTTTTTGCCATAGTAAATTGAATCATGGTCATTAAGTGAATCCAGCTTTTCCCACTGACCTTGCTTGTCAGAAGCTGGCTGGAAAGATTACAAATGCTGATCCCATGATCACCAACACGCTGGCCCAAAGCAATAGTTTGAAAAACCCTGGTTCACTCATTAAACTTAATAGGCTAAATCTGCACAACATTAATTGGGAGATCACAGTTCAGCAGATAAATTGAACAAGCCAAGAGACGTTTCTGATTCCAAGGCATCTTAGAGCATCAGGTTACTTCACGCAGAAGTGCTGATAATATGTACAGGACTATCCTAATCCTCCAAAATGTTTGGCCTTGTCATCTGTTGGATATGAACATAGTTTTAACATGTGCAGTGAATGACAGGAAAATGGAAGGTAGTTTAGATGTATAACTCAGTAGTGAGTTGCTGTTGAATCTAGAGTTAGTTACACCAAGGAGAGTTGCCACACCTTATTTCAGCCAAAGCAACATATGATTTTTCTCTACATGTACAATTAATTCACAGAAGCCTTATTATATCCTGCTGGGTTAAAAGGCCCTATCGCAGTGATGGCAAACCTTTTAGAGACCGAGTGCCCAAACCTCAACCCAAAACCCACTTATTTATCGCAAAGTGCCAGGGCCGCATCAGCATTGTGGTGCCCTCAGGTGGGGGCAGGGAGGTGCCTCTGAGTGCCGCCTCTGGCACGCAAAAACCGGGGGCGCAAAAATGGGCCACCATGCTCCAAGGTGCAAAAACGGCCGCTGCCACGCCGCGGGGTGCAGATACAAGGTGCTGCACCACGCAAGAACGGAGCAAGAACGGGGCAGGGCTAGAGTATCATGCAGGCACTAGCCCCACCCCATTTGCAGCACGTGCGTGCTCGCAGCCCCGTGCGTGCATGCACGCATGTAAAATGCTTCCCCCTCCCTTTTCTTCCAGTCCGCCAATCGACAATGGTTGGTGACCTCTGCTCTACCACCTCTACTGGAGCTTGCTAGTCGGCCGCTTCTCCTCCTTTGTGCTGGGCGGGGCTCCTGCTCCGGGCGGCGGTGGCACACGTGCCAACAGAGAGGGTTCTGAATGCCGCCTCTGGCACGCGTGCCATAGGTTCTCCACCACTGCCCTATCGTATCAAAAATCTGCAAAAACTTAGAAGGCTATTAGTAGGTACTAAAAAGGCAAAAATGTTTATATTTCTTTGTTATAATTTCACTGACTGGGTTCTTGCAGCCTAGATATAGTAATTCTATATTACATGAGGCTCTTCCCACCCCCCACCCCCCAGTAGAATACAGGTAGTCCTCAACTTACAACTATTCATTTAGTGACCATTCAAAGTTACAATGGCACTAAAACTTCCTAACAGTGGGCACTCCATCACTGGAGGTTTTTAAGAAGAGACTAAACAGTGGTGGCGAACCTACGGCACAGATGCCCGAGGCGGCACTTGGAGCTCTCTCTGTGGGCACACGCACTGTCTCCCCAGCCCTGCCTCCTCCCACAGCCCCCTCCTCACCAGCAGCCCCCCCAGAGGAGAGTCATCCCTGGGCACGGCCCACGCGAAGCAACGCAGCCAAGGACATGGAAGCTGGGCAGCGGGGACAAGACTCTGTCCTTGCGCCCCGTCACGCGCAGATGATGCTGCAGGGCATGGGCAGAGGGCGTGGCCGTCATGGTACTGCTGGGCTGCCTGGGTGATCTGTGGCGGGCCGTGGAGGTGGTGGATGGCCCAGTGGGCAGGGCGGAGCAGGGACGGGGGTGGGGGGGCGGTTTTTGGGCACTCGGTCTCTAAAAGGTTTGCCATCACTGGACTAGACAGTCACTTGTCTGAAGTGGTATAGGTTCTCCTTGAGCTGGGGGCTGGCCTAGAAGACCTCCAAGGTCCGTTCCAGCTCTATTCTATTCTATTCTATTCTATTCTATTCTAAAAAAGTGACTTATGACAGTTTTTCACATGGCTTTCACAGCGTCCCCATGGTCGTATGATCAAAATTTGGCCGCTTGGTAACTGACATGCATTTATGATGGTTGCAGTATCCCAGGGTCATGTGGTCACCTTTTGCAACCTGACAAGCAAAGTCAGCGGGGTGCCAGATTCACTTTACAACCATCTTACTGATTGAACAACTGTAGTGATTCACTTAACTGTGGCAAGAAAGATCATAAAATGGGGTAAAACTCAACTGTCTTGCTTAGCAATGGAAAGTTGGGGCTTAACTGAACTGTAAGCCAAAGACTAGCTGTATTGCATTGTTGTAACTTGGCCTTCTCTTGTCAATGTGTGACATGAGCAGATCAGCCAATGTAGAGCAACATCAGCAAATATTTTAGGAAGGATTCTAGTATGGTAGGAGGAAAAGAGTCCGTGATATTTTTGTACTAAACCAATACTTGTGGAAAGAAAGTTATGACTAACTGCCAATGTTCTGAGGTTTGAGCTAGCTGCTAGACCCTTCAGTCAGGCATAGCTTTGGTGTTCTTTTTAATCTTATTTAATAGGCAAATACTAGCCGTACAGTTTCTAAAGGTATCCTGAAAATAGTCATAGTATACTCTGTCCTTTATGTCAAAATCATTTTATGCTGCAAAATACTAGCCTCTTGGCCCAAGTAACACTTAGAGACAAAATGCTTTCATGATACAAAACTGACAAAATATCCAGGACAAACATAACAAAATATCCATAACAAGATATTTGGCACCTGACTTGATATCATGAATTATTTGGGCAAATGATAATGAGTTGCTCCTTGAGTTTGTATATCTTGATTGGCTAAGATTTCTTCCACTGGCCCTTTACTATATGTCATTTGCTACTGTTCCCTCACTTCAAATGAACGTTGGCCTTTGACTGGGGAACGGAACTAAATTCTGCATTTGACAAATGAAAGATCAGTTTTTGAAGCAGTAATGCAGCAACAGAAATACAGAGTTATTTAACAATATATGGTCATCTATTTCCCTTTCATACTGGGGCCATTTCAGAGTGGCTACATTGAGATAAGCAAGATTAGAACAACATAAATTCCATGGCAAAATTAAGGTAGATATTTGATTACTCTAACCTCTAAACCACACCATAATGGTTTGTATCTATAAATCAGGCTGAAAAGTGGTTGCAGCTTTAAATAGCTCATTGGTTACACAAGTTAAGTAATTACCAGGGTGGGGTTAAGAACTTAAAGGCAGTGAGAAGGCAGTGTTCTAGTAGTTGTTGTTTCTAGTTTGTGGCTGAAGAAGGTTGGGTTGTTATTATTATTTTTTGTATGTTCAGTTCCAGTTAGGTAAGTACAAGAATAATAGCACTATGTTCTGAATTATTTGTGTTGCTGGCTTTAAGATTGAGGCATAGTTTGCTTGTTTCATAGGCTGCTACATACTTAGTTTCCATATGGGTTTGTTTTTTTTCTTGAGATAATTTACATCTTGTGCTACTGTGCATTTTGTTTCACAAGATACAATTGGCTAGCTTTGTACAATGAGCTTAACTAGTTTATAAGACAAGCAAACTTAAGCCAATGCACGCTAGACTTGAGAATTTATTGAAATACAATTCCTCTATGTAAATTGTGGTTTATTTGGTAAACCACAAGCTATGGCTTGTTGCAGCATATGTTTTTAGGCAGTGGAAGGAATATTTCGGATTCTGTTTTTCAAAGGTGATGGCCTTTATTTTTTGTATGAGGTAAAATTAAAAAAAATATTGTGTTGAGTCTGACTGCTATTCATTAAATGGATATAGCTCTACAATCTTGCCATCAATACAAAAAATGTTTGTCACTAATGTAGCTGTTTTAGGTGCGTTGCATTATTAACCATGATATTGTGGGTTGTCTGTCAAAAAGCACATTTCTTTAAAAAGGGGTGCTTTCCCCTACCTTCTTTTCCTTTTGGCATGTGGAACCGGAGTGGATTGGAGCTGAAATATTCAATGAAAATACTTTCTAAACTGTTCTGTACATTTCATGCTTTTGTAAATGGAATAACCGCTAAGCATGATTACTCAGGAAATGACTCATCCAGTGACTGTCCTTTTTTTTTTTCCCTGCCTGGAATTAACTATGTGCACAAAGAATGGAAAGGCTAAAAATGGGTTCTTTACAATAAGTTTCTCTGCTACTTTTGAAGATGGTGAATTTGTCTCCAAAGGTACCCACTCGGAAATTGATTTTATGCTTGATTTTTAAAACTTCTCTTTTTCTTCTTTCTCTCTCCAGGCCCAAGAAGAACTGGGCAGAAGGGCAGTCATTGTCCCAACCCCAACAAATCAGCACACTCTAGAAAATCCAGCATCTTTTTTGCATCTGCTGTTCAGGAGTCTATTTGGCCTCTTTCAGCGTTTTCTAGCATTTACAGCTGGTAGAGTCAAAGAGTGATTAGAGATGCAGGCTGATACGGTGTCAAAACATTTCATTGCCTCGGGTGTCCAGCTTGTTGCTGATGTTTTGACTAGTCTCCTGTCCAGCAGCTGGGAAATGGGAGATAGCTTTTCTCCAGAGGAAACCCAGGATGAGGGAAGCAGCTCGTCTTCAGAGGACACGCAGTGGACCCCGTTGCGTTGGTCAAGATCCAGCATGAAGTCAGAGATAAAGCGCCTTCAGACATTTCAGCTCTGGCCCACGAGCGTTCCTGTTTCTCCAGCTGAACTGGCAGCTGCCGGTTTTTATTTTGTCGGTCCTGCTGACACTGTCCAGTGTTTCTGCTGTGGCGGGTCGTTGTATAATTGGGTAGCTGAAGAGGATCCCATGGTAGAGCACAAGAAATTCTTCCCATCGTGCCTGTATATCCAGGAGAAAACCGTAGGAAATTGCCCACAGGTGCCTTGGAGCGAAGAACACCTGGACTGTGTAGATGGCCAATTTCTTGGCATGCTGCAAAGTTTAAATGTGGAGGAGAGCCCTGTAGGTGGCCAGGCAGAATACCCCTATATGGAGACAGAAGAAGATCGCTTGGTGTCGTTTGAAGACTGGCCATCTTATTCTCCGGTGTCTCCTGAATCGTTGGCCAGAGCTGGCTTTTTCTATACAGGTATGTGAGGAAATGAGAACTGCTTTTGTTGGGCAAGACCCAGGTTCCGTCTACATTAATGTATGGCTTGTTATTCCTGGAAGCCTAGACCTACAGTATCTCGTGAAACGGGTGGTCTTAGTCTATTTTGTATTTCTGTATTATTTATTTGTATCCCACCTTTATATATATTTTTTACAAATAATTCAAGGGGATGAATATATTTAACACAACTTTCTCCTCCTATTTTCCCCACAACAAGAACCCTGTGAGGTGGGCTGGGCTGAAATAGGGACTGGATCAAAGTCACCTAGTTGGTGTTCATGGCTAAGGTGGGATTTGAACACACTCCCGCTTTCTAGCCTGCTGCCTTAACCACTGGACCAAACTGGCTCTCTTCTGCCTTTATTACAGAAATTAAATGAGTCAATTTTGTATAACTCGGCGAGGCATACCTAATGTTCCTGCCTCCTGTTTACTCACAGCACCAACCCTGTGAAGTGGACTGGGTTAAGGATAACTGGTACAAAGTCTCCCAGTCAGTTTTTGTGCCTAAAATAGGTCAAGAATACACAATCTTCTAGTTTCTGGTCTGACACTTTAACCACTCAATTGACCTAGCTCTCGAAGGAAGAATTATGATACTTTGGAATGTGTAAGACCTGGTTTGATTTCCTGAAGTCTAAAATCATTTTATTCCGTACAGTTTGTTTAATAATTTGTTGCAAGCTATGGAAGCTTTGGCCAGGAAACGCTGAGGCTAGCTCTCTCTCTAAACCAGGGGTCCCCCAATCTTGGCCACTTTAAGACCTGTGGACTTCAACTGCCAGAATTCTGGCTCATATTTATGACGGTCACAGTGTCCCTGGATCCTGTGACTTTCTGACAAGCAAAGTCAATGGGGAAGCCAGTTTCACTTTAACAATCCTGTTACTAACAACTGCAGTGATTTCACTTAACTGTGGCAGGAAAGGTCGTAAAATGGGGCAAAACTCACTTAACAAACATCCTGCTTAGTAACAGAAATGTTGGTGTCAACTGTTAGTCATAAGTCGAGCGCTACCCGTAAAGTCTCCATAGCTTAGGCCCAAAGTACCCAAAATTCCCATATACATACACATATTCCACACTACACACTCTACTCTTTTACCATTTGTAAGCTGCTGTAGATGCATCTAACAGCTGTAAATTCTCCTGTTTAATGGCACATCTTTACTGTAAACCGATTGGAATTGAGAGAGGTCTCCTCTTTATAGTAGCATGGTGAAAAAAGTAAGGTTCTACATTTAGGCAAGAAAAACCAAATGTACAGGTATAGTATAGAGGATACCTTGCCCGGGGATGCTGTGACAGTGGTAAGTGTGAAAAAAACGGTCCTAAGTTGCTTTTTTTCCAGCGCTGTAACTTTGAATGGTCACTAAATAAGTGGTTGTAAGTCAAGGACTACCTGTACACACTTTCAAGAATCCTTTCTCCCAGAGGAGCAATACCTCTCCCCATTCTAAGTATTTAGAATAGAATAGGGCTGAAAGGGACCTCGGAGGTCTTCTAGTCCAGCCCCCTGCTTAAGCAGGAGAACCTATACCATTTTAGACAAGTGACTGTCTAGCTTCTTCTTAAAAATCTCCAGTGATGGAGCGCCCACGATTTCTGGAGGCAAGCAATAACACACAGCCATAGCTGCAGAAGTAGAGTTGAATACTCCATTTGTAAAGTCGTCCATCTCGACAAGGGACTCTGGGCAATGGACAATAACATAACTTGCCCTGCTTGCTAGTAAGGCAAGAAGGATTTTTCTGTGGAAGCGAGTTCACGGCTGCGGAATTTCCCCTAACCTGCTTGAACGCTTAGGGCACGGGTAGGCAACCTTGGCTCTTTTATGACTCGTGGACTTCAACTCCCAGAATTCCTGAGCCAGCATGGGGGAACTATGGCCCCTTCATGACTCGTGGACTTCAACTCCCAGAATTCCTGAGCCAGCATGGCTCAGCTTGGAAACCTCTCCCTTTTCCCTCAGTGTGGCTGGCTCAGGAATTCTGGGAGTTGAAGTCCACGAGTCATAAACGAGCCCAGGTTGCCTACCTCTGGCTTAGGTGAAACGGTTTGATAATGGTGTGCAGGCTTGTAAGTGCCTCTTGAAATCTCAAACTAAAATGGGGGACAATTCAGGCTTTAGTGCCCTGGGAAGGGAATTCAATCTGCCTGGCTTACTTCTGTTCTCTTTCCCCACCATTTCCATTTTGGAAATTTTTAATTCTGCACGACTGTCTAGGCTAGGGGTGGGAGACGATGGCCCTTTTGTGACTTGTGGACTTCAACTTGAAGTCCACAGGTCATAAAAGGACCATTATTCCCACCCCTGGTATGGGCAGTAGTCTTCTGTTGTCCTGAGTGAAGGGTCAACCTGGCCTTGTCACTCCTTGATGAATATAAAATGAGGAGACTTTGAGTGGATCCCCTGAATTCTGTACTAGTTCTTGATTTCATTTGCTTGTTACTTTTACTGGACCTATCCAGAAAAATCATATCCATCAAAAGCTGTAGCAATGGTCTCTGCCATAATAGCTTTAATTCTGAGAGGGGGTCCTGGCATCTCCAAGCATCTGGCAATGGTTTTTTGTTTGTTTCTGTTGCTCTTGACCAACATGTGATCTTTTGTCATGGATGTTTTCAGGCCAGCAAGATCATGTGCGGTGTTTCTACTGTGATGGTGCACTGAGGAACTGGGAACAAGGAGACGATCCCTGGATAGAGCACGCCAGGTGGTTCCCAAGGTGATAAATTCTGATGTACAATTTTTTCTTTCATCCTCCATGTCTTGTGGGAACTGGCATGGACGGGTTTTTTTTGACCCTGATGTTCAAATTATCTCTTGGATGTAACTGATAATGGGGGGGGGGGGAAAGCACACTCTCCTTGGACTGAAGGATTGTGTCAGCCATGGCCATTCCCCATCATTCAGTTAGAACTGAAGAAGCTTCTTGGATGAGAAGCAAAATGTTTTTAAGGGGAAAAAAAACCCGAGAAAGTCCAGTTGCCTTTTGGGGAAGCACCTCTGGAACAACCATGACCTGGATGACAGAATCTCCATGTTGTTGTTAGTTGCAAAGTCGTGTCCGACCCATCACAATCCCATGGACAACGTTCCTCCAGGCCTTCCTGTCCTTTACCATCTTCTGGAGTCCATTTAAGCTCACGCCTATTGCTTCAGTGACTCCATCCAGCCACCTCCTTCTCTGTCGTCCCCTTCTTCTCTTGCCCTCCATCTTTCCCAGCATTAGGCTCTTCTCCAGTGAGTCCTTCCTTCTCATTAGGTGGCCAAAGTACTTGAGTTTCAACTTCAGGATCTGGCCTTCTAAAGAGCAGTCGGGGTTGATCTCCTCTAGGACTGACCGGCTTGATCGCCTTGCAGTCCAGGGGACTTGCAGGAGTCTTCTCCAGCACCAGAGTTCAAAGGCCTCAATTCTTTGGTGCTCAGCCTTTCTTACGGTCCAACTTTCACAGCCATACATTGCAACTGGGAAAACCATGGCCTTGACTATACGCACTTTTGTTGGCAGGGTGATGTCTCTGCTTTTTAGTATGCTGTCTAGATTTGCCATAGAATCTCCACAGATGGATCCAATGGAAGATCACTTTTTATATTAACTAACAAACAATATTTACAACTAACCTTTTCTCAATCTTCTTCCTTACCCCTCCTTCCACAGATGTACATTTCTGCTCCAGTCCAGAGGGAGAGAGTTCATAAGTCACACCCAACAATCTAATGTAATGTTGGTGAGTATGCGTGCATCTTCTGTAGGACTATAGCTTAAATAATACCCAATGCTGTGAAATGTCTGGATATGTAACAGGGGCTCTCTTATCCATTATGTTATTGTGGGTAAAGTGGCTGACCCGGCATGTATATCAAAACTCAGATGGGTTGAAGGGGGTTCTTCCTCTCTGAGACATATCTAGCTGGGTTTGGGGCTTGGCCCCAGGTGTGATCCCAGGGGTGGGGTGGCAATTTGTCATCTAGGAAGTTTCGGAAGCTTTACAGTGCAGCTAACTGGATGTAAGATCCTGGGGCTAAAGTTGGGTTCCAGGGAACTATTTGACTAGTTGCAGAGGTAGGCGACCTTGGCTCTTTTATGACTTGTGGACTTCAACTCCCAGAATTCCTGGGCCAGCCATGCTGAGGGAAAAGGGAGAGGTTTCCAAGCTGAGCCATGCTGGTTCAGGAATTCTGGGAGTTGAAGTCCATGAGTCATAAAAGAGCCAAGGTTGTCTACCCCTGGTCTAGGCGGCTCACCGCTTAGAACAGGACTTAGGACAGGGATAGGCAACCTTGGCTCTTTTATGACTCGTGGACTTCAACTCCCAGAATTCCTGAGCCAGCCACGCTGAGGGGAAAGGGAGAGGTTTCCAAGCTGAGCCAAGCTGGCTCAGGAATTCTGGGAGTTGAAGTCCACGAGTCATGAAGGGGCCAAGGTTGCCTACTCCTGGTCTAGGCGGCTCACCGCTTAGAACAGGAGGACTTAGGACAGGGGTAGGCAACTTTGGCTCTTTTATGACTCGTGGACTTCAACTCCCAGAATTCCTGGGCCAGCCATGCTGAGGGGAAAGGGAGAGGTTTCCAAGCTGAGCCAAGCTGGCTCAGGAATTCTGGGAGTTGAAGTCCACGAGTCACAAAGGGGCCAAGGTTGCCTACCCCTGGACTGGTTGCAGCTGCTGTTATGTCCTCCTTGTTGCACAGTGAGATCCTTGACCAAACTGCTTGAATCCACCAGTAAGCTGGCAGTGGAATCCCCGAGACTCATAATACTGGGAGACTTTAATTGGATTCACGTCTGATATGTCTTGGGTTCATGGCCTTTATGACAGCCATATACCTGATTACGTTACTGAGGGTCCAACACCCACAGGTGCTAGGTCTGCTTTTTTTAAAAAAAAAACTCCAAGAAGCTGCAACGTGATCAGAAAGTGAAGGATATGACGATCACTTCTTTGTCATTTTCAGATCACTCTCTAATTGCTGTTTGGGTTGTTGATGCTGCCCTCCCATGTAGGGTGGTAAGGACTATTTAATTGGTCTGTTCTGGTTGACTAATATTCTGGATGGGTTCCACAACTTTTCAGCCTGTGGATATGAACAATTTGTTTCAAGATCTTTGTCCCCGCTCTTGAAGGGAGGCAGGATAAGGATCTCCGATTGGATTATTCACATATGACCTTTGGGATTCCCCGGTTTTCTGATGAGTTTCAGGAGATTTTTTTTTTTTTTTTTTTAAAAGAGACCCTTTGAGCACCATTTGAGAAAAGCACACTATAATCTGACTATACATGTAACAGGTCATATTAGGAATTACATAGGAGCAAAATGCATTTCTTCCATCCACAGTTTATTAATGGCTCTGTTGAAAGTGACTTATTCTTTACGTAAGGAAGGGAAGGGCTACAAAACTATTGACAGGGCCATTATGACAAATGTTCTGGGGCAGGGGTAGGCAACCTTGGCTCTTTTATGACTGGTGGACTTCAACTCCCAGAATTCCTGAGCCGGCATGGCTCAGCTTGGAAACCTCTCCCTTTTCCCTCAGCGTGGCTGGCTCAGGAATTCTGGGAGTTGAAGTCCACGAGTCATAAAAGAGCCAAGGTTGCCTATCCCGGTTCTAGTCCAACCCTCTGCTCAAGCAGGAGACCCTATACCAGGAGTAGGCAACCTTGGCTCTTTTATGACTGGTGGACTTCAACTCCCAGAATTCCTGAGCCAGCATGACTCAGCTTGGAAACCTCTCCCTTTTCCCTCAGCATGGCTGGCTCAGGAATTCTGGGAGTTGAAGTCCACGAGTCATAAAAGAGCCAAGGTTGCCTACCCCTGATCTAGGGATAGGTCACAGAGTTGCTCATTAGATAAAGTACACACAGTCCTTGACTTACAGTGTTTTCTTTATAGTGATCATTCAGTTACAACGGACTGGGAAAAAAATGACTTATGACTATTTTTCACAAAACTGTTCAGCATCCCCATGGTCATGTGATCAAAATTCAGGCACTTGGCTCATATTTATGACGGTCGCAGTGGCCTGGGGTCATGTGATTGCCTTTTGTGTCCTCCTGACAAGCAAAGTCAATGGGGAAGTCAGATTCGCTTAACAACCATGTTACTGACTTGACA